GTGTGTGGTATGGTGACGGTGTGTGCTGATGTTGGTGGCGGTGTGTGGTATGGTGGTGGTGGTTTGTGGTATGGTGGTGGTGGTGGTGGTGTGTGATATGGTGACGGTATGTGGTATGGTGGTGGTGGTGTATGGTATGTTGGTGGTGGTGTGTGGTATGGTGGTGGTGGTGTGTGGTATGGTGGTGGTGGTGGTATGTGGTGATGTTGGCGGTGGTTATTGCCATACAAGTAGTTAATATTAATCATTAGTGTAATTTTAGATTTGAACATAGAGTTTCTCGTGCTCTAATTGGTCGAGCGACCATTGATTCTGAGACGATATTCGCTGCTCRAGCGTGATTATGAGGTTTTCCAAAGTTTGCCAAAGTGGGAGTAATACTAAAACGTTTCGACTTTAGACTCTAAAATTATCCTAAAACAATTGTTTCCCGAATATTCAATATTCAAAAAATARTAATAATTTGAAAATTCGATTAACTTGGCTTGTTGGCTCTTGTTTGTAGCGCAAACAGAAGGTAAGTCATTAATATTACATATTCCTAGCACAAAAAGTTGTTTTTGCATTTCAGTTGCATATATGCTTGGCTTTTGTATATGCCAGGCTTTGAAGATTCGTTTTCATTAATGAATCTTCGAATCGAATAATGAAATCAAGAATCCAAAAATAAAGTCATTAATGACCTCCACGTGTTCACGCTTGAGGTAGTTTGACTGTAAAAACGCAGACTTTTGTTTTGCTCTGTTGGATTCTAATTCTAGTACAAAACAAGACACTCAAAACTGAGTTTTTCAAAATGCTCACCTGAGTGATCAATAAAAAGTAAGTTAGCTAGTAAATCCAACATCAGACCCCAGACTCCTTTCCAACATAAGTCTTCTTGCCACATAGTCTGGTAACCCGCTCTGTGAAATGCTCCAAACATGAAACCCGGGTTGACTGATTGGCTAGAAGCAGACCTGTTTAGATCAAGTAGTCTACYATTGAATAACGCATGAGTATTCTCTGTAGTATGACCTTCAACAGCTTGAAATAGTTCAAAGTCAAATATCATGGCAGGAGCTGAATGGGGTTCATTTCGCCATCGCTTGAACAGCTCGATAGTCTTGGGTAGCGATCGATAGAAGTGAGACCTCGATACCGAGTCAATTAGAACAATATTGACATTCAAGAGATTTTGATCTCGAGTCTTGGAGGCATTTTTCCTCATGGTTAATTGTGGGTCTATTTGAATGATCTGGGATATTCCTGTTTTGGTATCTTTTGAAGTACATCGAAGGATAACGAAGTGAAATTTCTGCTTGATATTTTCTCTGATGATAACCATTAGTGCTGCTTCCAATTCAGTAATGTTTAGATATCTTCCAGCTTCTGCTATCTGACCGTTACTGGGATTCATGTTCAACACTTGGATACTTTCCTTTTCGTTTTGTTCCATGCAAATTGAATTATCACAACTGACACTAAAGTTGACGTGATCTTTTGGACCCACTAGTAGACTTTTCAACTCACACACCTTCTTGCTGGACAACGATTTGCACTTGGTTAACGCTGGATCCAGTTTGTACAATATCCTCGCCTTTTCACACGATTCGTTGCTCGCTTGATGCGGTAAACAATTGCCATATTTCCAGGTCTGTTCTTGAGGAAGAAAATTTTTCGGGCAGCCACATTTCCACCAATTTTGAATTTTGTCAGTCACTTTAAGCATAGCTTTTCCATCAATGAGAAACATGAAAATGAAAACAAGAGATGAAAACGAGAACAGGAAAACCCATTTGCTCGCTTTTCTTCTTGTTGTCCGTAATGCAAATTTCTTCAGCTGCCTAAAAGTCAAAGCTATCAGCTGTCGGATTGAAGACGCCATATTTCGTCTGCGCCGTACCGTAGCGTACGAAGGTATTCAAAGTCAGTTTGTGTTTGTGCGAGAACCAAGGCCTTCCCTAATCTGTCTTCCTCATTTCTTGTCTATCCAAAAGAACCATGGACGTAGTAGCCACGACGTTTAGTAGGGAACTAAAAGAAAAAAAATAGGTTGTTTGAGTTTAAACTCAATTTTCGACCCCTTTACTATTTCTTTTTAGCATAAACCTACTAGCATACTATCACGAATCCTGCAATTTGATTGGCTAACGTACTCACTATCTATCATTGTAATAGATAGCGAGTAGCGAAAAATAAAGTGCATGGTCAAGTTTCGTCGAAATCTCTGCTTGCAGGTTCTCTAAAAAGTCTTTAAAAATCGATTATAGAAAAGACAAGACTGTATCAAGGAAAGGAATTGAGGTTTCGAACGCTACAGATAAGTAAAAAGTGAAGAATTATGGCAATTTTAACACGAAAAAAAGCGGAAGTCAGATTTCACTGAGATTTTCATGTGCAAGCTTTACGACGGACAAACAACTGACTACTGAGATAACAATGTTATTTCTAAAAAGAATTCCCTCAAAGAACAGAAAAAATCCAAAAGACAACTTATTCACATGTATTCAAGAAGAATTTTAAACGTTAAGAACACTGACGAAGCAATAAAGAAAGTGCAAGTTAACTAACAAGAATGTTGTATTAAGCAAATTGTAAACATGGCATGGCTTTGAATGATCTGACCAAGGGCACTAGGACACCGAATGTGGTTGGATTTCTATAGGTTTTTTTTTTCCTTTCGATTATTTGAATTAAATTAACGTTATACTTGGCTTGTTTACTTATCTTGTGTCTGTGTTCCTTCGTTCGCTGTTGTAATGCAGACGTTTTCATTCCAAAGGTCAAACGGTTTGAATAGCCTATGGCCGTTCCGTACTTGACTCTGTTTGTACCAACAACAACTCGACCGCGCGATGCTCCTTACGTCAGTAATATTCAACCGTCCAGAGTTAATATGGTTAATCAAATCCACCGTAAGTTCCATATATGGATTAATCCGTGAAACACTAATTACTAAATAGTACAAAATAGTGCTAATCAAACAATAGAAAACAATGGAATTTGTATGAAATTGTGCTATTTAGTATTACTAAAGTGAAGGCAATTAACCCGTGAAATAAATAGAGGATATTACATGGGCGTGCGGAGGTACGAAATTTATCTTCGAGTGTTGAAAAAATCTCTCACGAGTGAGCGTGGCGAACGAGTGAAAGATTTTCAACACGAGAAGATAAAATTCGTATCTCCAAGCGGCCATGTAATATTATGTTTATTATATGATTATCAATGAAGTATTTTTTGGCTTTTTCAGGCAATTCTTTCCGTGTATTTTTGCCGAATAGTCATCGCAATGGTGTTATTTTCACGTGTGAAGATATCAATTTTTCGAAATAGAGAAAAATAGATATTTCATTGGTAATTACATAATAAAAAATACTAGTCAACGTATAATAGTCAAATACACACGAAAGAAGATGATGGAATTAGGGTGTACTAAAATTGTGTTAGTCTAATATCTATTTCACGGGTTAAATGACTTCAATCTATTGTTGGCACTCTATTAGAGTACTATTAGTCACTAAATAACTACTATTTTTCAGTATCAACTAGTTAGTTCTTATTAGGGTTTTCCGATTTAGCGGAATTTTCACCTAAAATTCCGAATTCTGATAGATAAGAATTGATTATCATTTTATGTAAGTTCGATATGATATAAAATCAATTAAAGTAGTATTTGAATAAAAAAGGACACAATAATACATGACATGACTTGTCCAGGATTTGAACCACGCACCTATGGTATCAAGTCCGCGGAAGTTGAACAACTAAACTAAGGTGAAGCGATACAACGAAAGCATTCGTTATTTGAAGTTTATATACTCTTTTTGCGCAACGCGAAGTCCTTTTTTTTTTTTTTTTTTTTTTTTTTTTTTTTTTTTTTTTTTTTTTTTTTTTTTGTCGACAGATGTGTTAGCACTGTTTGTTTTTGAAAAAAAATAAAGGTAGGTTTGGCTAATATACTGACAGTTCATTTTGATTCTTTCATACATATCGAATATTCTGCTTTTTACTCAAAGATGGGGCCACTAAATTCGGATTTTATTGGCTTGTTTGGCCAGCTATATCACAATTTTCAAATATACCTATTTCTCGTACGTTCATTCAAAATAGCTTGATCTTTATTCGATCGATTTTTCTGAAAAGTTTCAAAATCCATCGTTCAATATATATTATGATTGCTGAAGGAATTTCAATTTCTAGTGGACGGAAAAAAGGAACAGTTCTCGTCTCAAGAAACTCATTAACAAGGTGGAATTCGAACAACATTATTTCTGACTGACAATCATAAAGATATACAACATTCCTTAATTGCATTTATTTATTTATTGTTTTCTAACTTGTGGCACAATGTTTCGGATAATCAGCTTTATACGGTTAGATAGAAATCCACATGTAGCCACGACAAACGGAAGAAGTGGCCTTTTGTGTCGAAATGTTGTAGATGTGCTTCGATAGATTTTTAAAAACCCAATTGCATGTTCGATCTTTACCCTAATAGACCGTAAAATCCTATAAGCGTTTCGTTGCCGTTGGTTTCGCACAACCGTCCTGCACAGGGACTTTATCAACGGTACAGCACAGGTAGCCCAAGCTTGGTTTCTGTGGTGTCCTGTTATAAGGAAATGTATGGGGAATCATCAAACATTTCAATAAAATCATCAAAACGTGAAATAAAGCCTCGAAATTTTACCCTATCATTGAGAAATAGCACTTCTTTCGCTCTGCGTGGTTATTTTTTGAATTTAGCCCGTTTTAAGAGTGACTGTATGTAACGATCAAGCAAAATTCAAAATCCGTGGCAAACTTCAACAAATCGATTTCGCTCATACTTTCAAGTTAG